GTTTAGGGTCCTTATAACGTAATGCAGGATTTATACCATCAACCGTAGTTTGCACGTTGTGTTTGATCAGGTCGCTCCCGGGCTTCTGGAGGGGCTTCAATAATTTAAAGAAGGTTTTGCGGCATAATATATGGGGGTTTCCGAATATAGGGAACCCTAATATAGTACCCTATTTAGTAGGATCCTCATTATAAGGACCCCAAAATAAGGACCCCTTGTTTTCGGAAACTCCCATATTGTACTTCTAGTAAGGACCCCCAAGCTATTGTTGGTCATTATGTAGGCCCCTTTTGTGTCACAACTTGGCCTCGCTGCGCGGTGTGGAGCTTCGGGCCATGGGCGCCGGGGGGTGCTTACGCAGGCGCTCAGAGCCGGGTTATTTGAAAGGAAACTGCAGGTGGGGAGTTTAGGGTTCCTTTAAAAGGGGTTTAGGGCTTTAGGGTTCTAGGGTTTAGGGTTTAGGGTTTAGGGGTCAAAGGAAACTACAGGTGGGGAGTTTAGGGTGTGTGTGTGTGTGTGTAAATATATATAAGGCTTCTATAAGACTTCCATATGGTATATATACCTACTATAAGGCTCCTATAACGGTAGCTACCCACCTGAAAGTGTCCTAGATTATTGCTAGCAAGAGGCCACAGAGAATAAAACCCCCGAGCACCTTGCCGTGATGACACGTGCAAGAAGGTTTGCACGGTTTGATGGCCATCATGCTTGCAACTATGACGCGGGTGAGGACGGTGGTGGTTAAGGTCTTGGACTTTAATGCTGTTGATGCGCGGAAGCACACACACACACACACCGTAAATCCTATAACCCGATAAGCCGAACTCGAAGGGCTTCAGGTTCGCACCCCAAATTTCGCGCTCAAGCTTCCAGGATCGTGTTGCAGATCGTCGGTTTTTGGAGCTTGGGGTTGGCGCACACTTTCCCCCTGAAATCCTGAATCCTCAGTCTCAGGGCTGCTACCAGAAACCTGACTACTAATTCCAAAACAAGCCTTGATACGAGTACTCAGCCCTGGGTCTAGTTGTGATATATCATATATCACTACATTGCCTTTCGAAGTCCAAGGAGTAATGCTACGACGTACCAAATGACTCAGGTCAATCTTGCCTTAACGAGAGCCGAAGACGAAGACCCAAGAAGCTCCGAACCCTAAGCTCCAAAGAAGAACACAGCATATAGGGTTCCTTTAAGGGATCTACAAGGGTTCTACAATGGTTTAGGCTTTAGGGTACCCAGACCTCCTTCCAAAATCCCTTGCTGCATGAGGAGCAGATACTTGTCTGCCAAGTAGACCTGCAGCTTGCTGTGGGTACTTCGGGTTTCTATCCACAGGTTCTGGCAGGTTACGCCGGGGTTCCTCTTCTTGTGCCTGTCACCACTCTACCGTCGCTGCTCCCAAATCTTCTTATTGCTGGTTTGATTCTTGCAAGCAGCAGTACTGCTGGCGTTTGTGGTTGCTGTGGTAGCAGGACGAGGAGTAGTGGCCGGTGTTGTTTTTTCGGGCAGGCTAAGGCTTAGGGTTCCGTGCTTGGGGTTTAGTGCTTCTGTTGCAAAGTTGCAGTCGTCGTAGTCCTTCATTTTTCAGCTAGTTCAGACTCGAGCAATGCAGCAAAGATGCGGGCTGCGCAATCAGGCTTCCCAGCACAGACCTTGCAAAACAGCTCAAAACGCTTCAGCTACGAACCCTAAACCCTAAACCCTAAACCCTAAACCCTGGGTCAGAGGGTCTAGGAGTCTTTGGGAACCCCTCGACCCGAGCCCCTAAACATTACAAAACCGAAGACCGACTAAAACCTTCTCCCCTTTACAAACTCGTCTATAAGCCCTACAAGCTCTATCAATTAAGACTTAGGGGCTCAGTATCCCAGCCCCAAAAAAGCTAAACCTCTATTTAGACTACGGTAGACTTGTATAATTAAGCACCATAAAGGTTGAAGGTTACCTACACAGCCCCTAGGAAGGAAAGTGGGAGTCTCTGGAAAACTGTGGGGCTCAGCCGCTCTGCAGTTTCGGATTTCCCTGGCGTTGTTTTTGGGTCTTTGGGGTTGCAGGCGTTAACGCCAGAGACATGTAAAAATAGCAGAAAATTATGGTTTCAGGCTTGGGCTGTTACAAATTCAAGACTTTTTTTCGAAGGCCCCTTACATGAAAACCCTGAGTCCTAAAGTCCCCCACCCCAGGGCCATGAAGCTCTTAGGGGTTTAGGGTTTAGGGTTTAGGGTTTAGGGTTTAGGGTTAGAAGCCCCATGAATCCTGAAGGACTCTGACTCGTAACGACCAGGGTAAACAGAGTTGGGGTTGGCTGCGGTGCTACATTTTAAAATGTACTGGAGGACCTTGTTAAGCAGGGTGGGGAGGCTTTAGATACCATGTTGAAGAGTATACCCAAAAACCTAAACCCTAAACCCTCAGCTCTACATAGGAGAGACCAAGGCACGCGGCCCTCACTAGCTTGTTGTCTGTGGTGCTCTCCTGAGCCAACGACGCTGCAGCTTCCGGCTAATGCGTAAGGAGACAAGGCAGCAGTGAGTCTGCAGAGAGAGATGGAGGCAAGAGGTTACGCTTGACTGGGCTTTGAAAAAAAGTATAGACTGTTAATTTATATTGGTTCCTTTAAGGAAAGGTCCCCCCAAAAAGTATTAAAGTATGGTACTCTAAAGCCCAGTTGAGGCCCATGAGTCATTGATTGTGTAGGGCTCCCACCGCAAAGTTCTCTAATTCACAGACTCTTCTAGACATCTGACGGCGGATGAATCTCATGTGGAAGGAGGCTTGGAGAAATGAAGCTTCAGCTTGGCTGCTCTTCATTACCTTGCTAAAAGTATAACTTTTAGTACCCCGATTATCAAAAAAGGCTAATCCTAAAAGTGATAAAGCTNNAGTGACTGTAAAGTTCAACCAAGGATTTCGCATTTCAGTGACGCAGGGTTTTTGGCTACGGAGGTTTCAGGCCGTAGAGGACTAACCCAAGGGTCGGAACTCGCTTCGCTACATGTCGGTTTAGGGTTTAGGGT